ACCATTTTCTACGAGGATAAATCCTGACTTTATGATTAGTATGTTATTGATAACTTGCTAAAATATATGATTGAATCAGTATGTATTTTTCATTTCAAGCTATATTTTAGTCGGTGTATTAGCTTAATCCAAATGACATATAATTGTTTACGCTGATTTAACGGCTCGATCGTCTTTAGAATTGCCTTAAAATTTTAAAAAGTATAACAAAAGATGTCTTTTTAATTAGAGCTTAAGAGGTTGAAGCTACTTAAGAGGGTGTTTCCGTAAGGTTGGTCTTACGTTGTATATTTTTGCTCATGGTTTCCTACTTTTTCTCAGTTTTCACTATTTATTTTTCTCCAGCACTATCTGTAACGCCCCTAATCTCACATCAGGAGGATGTGTGGATAAAGAATGATATATATGTAGAAACTTAATCTCAACTTGTGAGGTACTTTTTATTAGATAAAATCGTGAAACCTTCGAGTCAAAACGGATAATACTTCACAGGTTGGGTGCGGGTCTCCACAAATGATATCAGAGCAGTCACCAGTCTGCAGTCGTGAGAGTCACTAAATGCTATACGGTAGAGCTGTGGAAGTCACTAAGTGCTACATGATGGTCTAGTGTGATCTTGGTCTTATGAATGGATTCGGCTTGATAGGAACATCAAGCATTAAAGGTGAAAAGATTATAACACCTCCAATCTCACATCAAATGGATATATGGATAAGAAATAATATATATGTAAAAACTTAATCTCAACTTGTGAGGCACCTTTTGTGGGATAAAACCGTGAGACCTTCAAGTCAAAATGGACAATACCTCGCAGGTTGAGTGCGGGTCTCCACAAATTGTAACGTCAACAATCTTACATTAGGAGGATGTGTGGATAAAGAATGATATATATGTAGAGACTTAATCTTAACTTGTGAGGCATCATTTTTTAAACAAAATCGTGAGACCTTCGAGTCAAAGCGAATAATACTTTGCATGTTGGGTACGGATCTTCATAAATGGTATCAGAACAGTCACCAGTCTGCAGTCGTGAAAGTCACTAAGTGTTACACGGTAGAGCCGTAGGAGTCACTAAGTGCTATACGATGGTCTGGTGTGATCTTGATCACATGGATGGATTCGACTTGACAGGGACGTCAAGCATTAAAGGTGGGGAGATTATAACACCCCCAATCTCACATCAGAAGAATGTGTGGATAAGGAATTATATATATGTAAAAACTTAATCTCAACTTGTGAGGTATTTTTTATGGGACAAAATCGTGATATCTTCGAGTCAAAGCGAACAATACCTCACAGATTGGGTGCTAGTCTCTACACTATCGATTTTGATTAAACTGCTAGTCTATTTCCTAATCTTCTTTTTCATTATTGTGACATAACACTATCGTGCCGTGGACTAGTCTCTTCTTACCTCTCTAACCCTCTAGGGAGTTAAAAATTTTATTTTGAAATAGAGAGCTGAGGCTACAAGCCATATAATAGATTAACTAGATTGACCTAATACCATATTGTAGGCAGATGAGACATCTACAACTATGAATTCTATGATCGAGGTGATAATTTTTTATTATGTCCCCAAAAAGATCAATAGTTTAATGGTTCATTTCACCAATACCTACTCATTTCCAAATCCTATTAGTGTCGTAATGATTAGTTAAAGCTGGTCTTCATTGATTCTCATTTTTTTAAGGTGTTATAGTACATGAAGTCGATCTTGCTTCATTATCAAGCAAGATTCTCTTAACTACATAATTATGTACTACAACTGTGGTTAATATAACATCATCATGTGGATGCTGGATTCTTTTCAAATCTTCTGAACTAAACGAGATAGATTTATTTTTTTAGTATTTCTTTTTCTTTGTCGAGGTACCCACGGCTATAATTATGCTTGGGTTGAATTTTTTTTTTAGCCGAGGTTAAGCTACCTCTTGTAATTATGTTAATCACTCCAACGATCAACCTGTTGTTATCAATTCAACCTTTTTTTCATCTCAGCTCCTCTTTTTGAATTTTTTTTTCATTTTTTAGCTTTCTTTCCCTATCTTAGGTGGACTCTTTTCAATCTTGTTTGTAATTTGTTCTAGGTTAACCTTATCTTCGTTGCTCTACAAACCTCATCAACTGACCTTTCTTGATTAAAGCTCCAATCTCATTTTTTAGGTTGATACAATCTTTAACATTATGGCCTATGTCTCTATAAAAGTACATATTTTAGTTGGATCCCTCTTTGTATTTTATCTCACTAGCTTCGACCATCTAAGCTCAAGATTTCTCTCAATTTGCATCAAAATCCTTTTTCGAAAGGTATTAAGTGCAATGTAGTTTTTTTTTTCATTGAGGCTTATAACCCTATGTCATCTCTCTTTTAGGGGAGGATTATAAAAATCTTTAATTTTTTTATAATCAAAGAAGAGGGATGAACTTCTCTCACATCGATCATCAAAAAGAGAGAATAACCCTCTCTCACCTCAGTTGTTTTTCATTGTAATTTTGACATTTATATACTTTTCAGCTAAAAGTAAGATGTAGATTAAAGTCTTAAGTAGCTCTAGCAATAAGGTTAACTTCAAGTGATACTCTCTATCATTGAGTTTACTTGTTAAGATGGCTACAACATCCGTTTACTCTAGGTCTTTTACTTGCAAAGCTTTCATGTTAAAATGCGTGACGTAATTCTTCAAAGATTCATTGTGACCTTAGTGAATCGACATCAAACTTAAAGTTATCTTCTTTATTCTTTGACTACTTACAAATCAGGATAAAAAATAGTGGTTGTATTTTTTAAATGTTGTGATTAACCTTGGTTTTAGGCTACTATACTAGGATTAAGCTATGCATTTAGGGTAATAGCAAGACCTTTACACATTAGAGTTTCATCTGTACTTTATATCATCATGTTAGTCCTATAAAGTTTCAAATGTCGAAAGGGTCGGGAGTACTATCGTACATTTTTAAGGTTGGTATTTTGAACCCTTTAGGAAGCATGGCTTTATCGATCTCTTCAAGAAATGACAAAATCTCCAAAAATTTAAGCTCATCCTCAAATGCTATTGCCTTTGTTTTTAGCTTTTTTTTCATGACTTGTATCTGAGCTTCTAGGTTCTTATTTGATTGGGGTTCGAGATTTGTCTGTTTGGATTTTTAGGTCATGGCATGTGTCGAGTTATGACTAGGGTAATGGCAAACTGAGGTGTTATGCTCTTCTTCTCTGGAGTTCGAGGAGGTTTTTATCTCTTCGTAATTTAGCTGTCTTACTACAGCTCCTCAGCCAGAGGTGATTAAGTCAGGCACTTTCGAAACTTGTGGTGGGGTTATAGTTTACAACATCTGTTTAAGGGCTTGTATCTGCTCCGTCAAAGCCTGAAATTGTTCTATGGTAGGGTCAGTTTACGATGGGGTAAGTCGATCTGAGTGTTGGCTATCATGCATTTTTGTCCTAGCCAAAATGGTCTTCTCTCTTTCCTTTAAAGTTTTTTTCCTAGGTGGCATTGTTTCGTACTTGGTTAGTGAGTAGAAATGTCCCATATTTGGTATGCCAAATGTTTGTGTCGAACTCTAATTTAAAGGTGTGCTTGAAAAGATAAAAGATAATAATGATTAGAGGTAAAAGTAGAGAGTGTCCCTTGCATTTACATTTCAATGTACAAGTTAGAGTGAGTGAGGTTGAAAAGAGAGTAGTATGAAAAATTAGGAGTAAATAGAACTTGCTTTAATGATAGTTAGACATTCGTATTTATAGACAATAAATAAGGGATTATCGAAGGACAATAAAGATGTAGCCAAGTTAATGTAACACTGAATATGTCAAACCACATTAGAATTATCTCTAGTTGTCTGTTAAATACTTCTAATGAGAAAAAAGACTATCACATCATTTTGACCATCAAATGCCCTCGACACCATGCAAAAAGAAATTTGAAAACTTCAAATTTCAATAAAAAAATTTCAAGCTCCTATATAATATAATATTAAAAAAAACTTTCAAGAATAAAAATAAAAATGAAAAAAAAATGGTTTAATGGTTTTAAAATTTAAAAATTAGAAAAAAAAAAAGGGGGTATGGTGAAAAATACAAGAATCACAGGATCATACACGTCACAATCTGATTGGCCAAAATGTTTGCAAATATGAGCTCAGGCACGTTTGATCATCAATATTTTTCATGCCACATCCGTTTCCTTATTAGCTACGTGGACAAGGCCTTTGCCGACACTAATTATTATCCTAGCCAATAGTTTAAAAAAGAATTTTTAAATTATTTTAATTATTTTAATTTTTTCCTAAATAATTCTAACAACTAATCTGCTCACCCCAATGCAATCAAAATTTGACGCTTTTAACTTAAGTAAAATAAAATTAATCCCAACACAAAAGTAAAGGTTAAGAAAAGGGTCCACTTAAAATGAACCACGTTTGTGCTTTATTTTCTTTCTTTTTTTTTTTTTTTGATAACGAGGAAGAGGAAATACCTTTTTTTTTTTTTCTTTAACGCAATCTACGTAGTTTTTCTTTCAAAAGGTTAGAGATTTTTAGATTTTATCAAGCAAAATTTTTTTAATCAATTTAATTGAATTTATAAAATTTATTTTTTCCATCGTTTAACAAATTCGATTTCAAAACAATAAAAAAAAATAAACTTTCTTTTTATCACTTAAACTAATATCCATCATTAAATGTGCAAATAAATTATTATATTGAAATTTGATAAATAACTTTACAAGTAACAGCAATTTATATGATTTATTAATATTTCGATGGAGAAATTTTTTCATTTCATATAATATAATATGTTTACAGTAGATTTTAGGGAGGGCTTATAAATTTTTCCAGAAAAAAAAAAGACTGTTAAGGCGATGGAATGAATTTCTAAATAAATCTTTCAAATGATTTTAAGTTAGTATAAAAAAAAAAAAAATGTATTTGAAGAAGAATCAATGATTTTTGTTAATAGTTTGTTTGAACGTTTATTAAAAAATTATTGTTTGTATTCAAATTAAAACCAAAGTTTGGAATAAAAAATCTTCTGCATATTATTCTTTCTGTATGTTATTCTAAACTAACTTTTTTGACAAACCACATATAAATATCAAACCGTCCCACGATAATATCATTAAATCTAATAATCTAATCATAAGACTGCAAAAACTATACCATATATTTTTAAACGGTCAAATTAAATTAGAGTATATTATTGGAATGGTCGGCCAACCTAAGCTATAAACAAGTGTATTCTTGTTCTTGTTCCAAACCGAAGATGCTTTAAAAATAAAATAAAATAAAAAAAAATCCAACTCTCTGTTCATCAACTATATATATTGGTCACGTGTCGGTGGCCATCGTCCTTCTCTCTTTGTAAATTTGTTGAAGTAACACTAGGACTCTGTTGCTCATATAAAATCCTTAAAAAAAAAAAAGCCCAAACTTCATCACTTATGGTTACGGTTGTGGTGGAGGTACTGCTACTAAGCTCTGCCAATTCAAAGCTCCCTTACTTATTTATATGCACAAAGCTATAGCTTCTTCTTCTTCTTCTTCTCTCTTTCTTGTTTTTGTTTATGCTCAATTCTCTGTTTGTATTTGTAGAGAGAGATCGATATATAGGAGAGGAGATCTCGAGGTCTGGCAGGGTTCAAGACGATAGCGTTTAGGATATTTGGTGGAAGGAGGAAGAAAAGCAAGAAGAAGATAAGAGTGAAAGAAAAATTCATGGATTTGTGGCATAAGATGATCTTCCCTGTTCGTAGGGTTTGGTTTGCTGTTTCTTCTCGTGTTAAAGCTCGCAAAAACGGTGCGTTTTCCTTCCACCTCTTTCTCTCTCTCTTTGGACTTTTCTCTTTTCTTCTTCCTTCTTCCAGTAATGAATTTTTCAAATTTTCCTTTTACTTCACCAACCCAAAAAAAAAAAAAAAAAAAAAAAACTTTTTTCTTCTTTCTATTTTCAACTTTATAATAACAAAGGATTTTTTTTTTCTTTTTTCAAACTGAAATTTAATTTGAAGAGAAAAAAGAATTTTAAGATTAGAGTAATTAGAAGAAAATCATGTTAACTTATTATTCTTTGATTCCTTTCTCTTACCTTTTTTCCCTCTCTTGATTCTCTTTTTCTGCTGAAGCAGCTTCTTCGTCTTATTTTGTTCGTTTAAATAAATTTTACTGATTTATAATATTAAAAGCAATTTCTTTTTTTTTTTTTGTATTAAAAGCAAAACCAACTTTGCATAGATTAATAATATATGTGTATACCAACCTATAATATTTTTTTAATTAGGAAAGGAAAATTTTAAACCATATTTTTTAAGTAAAAGATCATATATTAATAATTTTGCGAAATATTCAGGGTATAAACTTATTTATATTTAAATTTTAATTATTTATGATTTAAGTATTTTGATTCAATAATAGATATATTTATTTTTTGTTAAAAAGTGGATTGAATTTAAAAAAGAAAAAAAAGATTTTTATTTACTTTAAAATATAAATAAACATTTTAAGTAGTATAATACCTTTCTTTTGACATAAGAACGGTTAGCTAAGGGACCCATGAGCCATGACCCCATCTTTACTAATTAACCACATATCAATTAAATATACATCATAGTTGATTAAAATTGCTCTAATAAATACAATAAATCATCTTTTGAGAAAGTATAAAATTATTAAAGTGTTAAAAAGAAAGATCAAGGAAAGTTGATTGAGGATATTTTAAAAAGCTACCCATTTAATCTTTAATGGAGTTTCTGCTCACATCGCATGAAAAAAATTAGTTTTTTTTTTTTTTCAATTATTGACACAAAATAAGAATAACTTTTTTCCTAAAAACATTTTTTCCACAACAAGAAGAATTTTTAATAATTTATTTTCTTTTTTTTTTTCCACAATAAAGAAAGTTGATTGGAATGACCTTATCATGTTATTATCAATATTATTATCATTTATCTGATGATAAAGAATTTCATTTTTTTTTAAGTAAAATTTTGATCTCGAGTTTTGTGAATGAAAAAAATAAATATTAAAAAAATTTGTTTTACATATGAGATTTAATCTAATTCGATTCAAAATAATTAAAGTTTAAAGTAATTTTCAGACACCGAGAGATTTCATATCAAAATATCAACGTTATTGCAAAAGGGTATATACTCATATTGGACTGATAAGCATGTTTTTGTTGTTTTTCCATTTTATGGATATAAAAGAATAAGGGAACACAGCTTGGAAGATTCCATTAATGGTGGACCATGCATTTATCCACTAGACAAAATCCCACTTAAAAGAGACAAAGCATGTTCTAATTGATGAGTTTTATACGCTGAAACCTAAACTGATAGTGTCCACTATGAAACCATAGATAGCTTCCTTTCTTGTTTTGTACTGTCTGGTAAATAAAAATTCAAAGAAAAACACGTATCTCTTTGATTAGCAGAAGGAAAATGAATCAATTTGACTTTCTTTTTTTAATTGATGGTCCATCCGGCCGAAAGGCTAAGATCAACTTCTTTTTTAGTACAACTTATCATTCAAGTTAGCGATGGCCTGAAAACAATCACTTTTTTTTTTGTCACAAAGTTAGTGTACACATTTGGCCAATAACTGATATTCGCGGCCAGGACCACTCAGCTAAAAGCATCACCATTCATGGATTGCTTTACTTATATTCCATGAATGTGGTTTGGGTTTTTTTTTTTTTTTTATCAAATATGATAAAATTTGAGTTGAAATTTGATTTAATTGATTTATATATTTATTTTTAAAAAATAATATTAAATTTAAATTTTAAATATTAATACGGATTATCATTTTTTAATTTTCAAGTTATGGCCTCCTTTATAATATATATATATATATATATATATATATATATATAAACATACGTAGAGAGGAATGGAGGTTACTAACCTTTTTCTTGATGGTGGTGTTGTTGACATGCAGGTGAAGGGCTTTTGAAGCTTCATGATGATGTACAAACTTGTGGTTACCAAGATGTACAGGTGATGTGGGAGATGCTGAGAAGATCAGAATCAGAGCTGATAGCTGCTAACAATCCCAAGCGCAAGCAACGACCTTTCTGGAAAGGTTTTGTATGGTCTAACCACACTTCATCCTCATCCTTCTCGGCGAATCATGCCTAACTTGAGACTCTCTGAGTACTACTATCATATAATAATAAATAATAATGTGTTCCTAGTGTCCTGCAACTTGAACATGGCATCATAGTTTTAGAATCCGACGGCCGACATTGCAGTGGCATGGTACAGAGCTGTTGCAGCCATGTTCAAATGGAAATATAAGATGATGTATCACTATTACTTCTGCTGGGGGTAACAAAAATGCTTTCAAATGAGCAAGTCATTTTGTATATATGTAATATTTTGTCAAGATTTGTAATCAAATTAAACAACAGATAGCTTCATCAGTTGGCCAAATTTCACTCACTGGTGTACCTGTATCTATTGGATATTTATGTCTTGGTGGATGAAGAAATGGCCTATTTTCTGATCAAATAAAATTCATAATGTAATAAACCATTAATCAGAGTGATACAGATTCAAAAGTGTTTTACCTGAAATAGAATTAACTTCCAAAAATATCATGTAAGAGTATATAAGTGAATATACAGAAAATTCCCAGATCAACACAACTAAATATGACATTAGTTCATTGAATAGTAAAGAAAATGGTTAAAATTAGCAAGAATGGTCAAGTGAGCATAACTTTTGATGTGAAGATTCCAACTGGATGTAACTGTTGCAAGTACATACATTGGAACTTTACATCATGCAATTTTGTCTGCCTCCTAAGCTAAAAATATTATTCCTGCAAAACTGTTATAATAATATTCCCTAATGGGCTATATAAATTACAGAAAAAACTGAGTGAACCAAAATTATGCTAAAGGTACAGCAGGGCAACCAAATATGGGTTCGTTGTTCTACTTATCCCTTTCCGAATTCATCTTTTAGGGGGCATAGTTTTATCCTAAAGGCTGTACCTGATCAAGAGGGGCACAAAAGAGTATCCAATGCATCATTGATACCCAGGAAAATTTATTTCTCCTTTTGGGAACCTTTGGACCTGAAGTTACCAAAGCAATTATTCTGACAGACTCATAAGTTCCTGACATGTTATTCCTCGAAGGGATGCGTGTGTATCTTCTCAAGCAGTAGTGGCCGGTCTTCTCCAAGCCTCTGTGGGTTCAGTTCCATTGCAACCTTGAAATCCAGCAAAGAAATCAGTTTGTGGGATCTATGTTCATTTATCCCTTCCAAATCCCAACTGCTATTTTGAACCTGATTATGGTCACTTGCTGAGACACCATTAACAACCTTCCCATAAGAATGCTGCTTGACTGTGCTGTTTTTTCCCAGAAAACATTCATGCCTTGTTCCTACTAGCTCAATGCTCATCCTAATTAACCTCTTTAGGTAGACATCCAATCCATTGTTCAATATATTGGCACAGTCCACCGACACACCTCCAAGGCCCTCCAATGCAGCAATTTGTTGCATGCGTTCCCTCAGTGTCCCAGAGTCAAGCAATCCACCTATATCATATGACTTGGCATATCTAGCACTCCTCGCAGAAGGTAAAGCCCTTTGGGCCCCAGAAATGCTACCAGAGAATAATGGAATTCCAAGTGGTGCTTGCAATGAACTTCTAGCACATGACCCCTTTCCATCTTCAACAACCAATACTTCACTTTGATCTCTGCTATCTCCAGAAAGAAAACCATCAACTGATCCCTTCATTAAAGGTAATTTCTCAGGGTCGGGAAGCAGAACATCCCTTCCATTATCTGCTTTGCCCGAGACTTCTTGATGATGCTGCACCGGCTTCCATGTATCATGAGAAGTCGGATCCACATTCTCAGATACAACAATGTGATTAGTTATTGTCGATTCATGAGAAGAAGAATCAAATTTGGCATTAAGCCTAGCGGATGCACTGGATCTTTCTTTCTGAGGTGACAATAGAACATCCCCAATTTGCTGACTGTCATGACCAGTCACCGGCTGTGGCGGGACTTTCGCATTACAAGCATTTTTCAATATTGAGCAGATTAAGAGATTGTGTAGTCTAACATTCTCTCTCCCAAGAACGCGAAAACAAACCTTATTGAACTCAACCTTGCTAAGCTTTAAGCTCAACAGTTTATTCAAATAATGAAAGTATTGTTTTGATCTCTCAAGGCCAAGTCTTTTTATTAACTGAGCTTTCAACTCAGTAAGATTGATCCGCAAATGCTGATTTGGCGGTTGCATTGTTCACCGCTGAAAATCCATAACCAAATTATTTGACCAAAAAATGCAGATACATACACCTTCCTTTAACCCAAAAACTCCAACTAAATTAGGATGTCTTTGCTCCATTTCCAAGAACCCACTTTCCATAACCCTACCAAAGATGTTCCACTATCTCCAGAAAGACCCACAGACACCAATATAAAACGCATCTTTGCAACACAAAGCTCAAAGATTTAAACTTGTCTCTCCAAAATTCAATCAATGAAATTCAAATCACAACCTAAAAAAAAAAAGAAGAAAAGCCAAACTTGAGCATATCAACAAAAAACCTCCATAATGTTTATTCAACAATAGATTTGACCACAAAATCAATGAAATCAAGCTCAACCCACTTCATGAAAATCTACTTTTTATTCAATATATGAAAGCTCATAGCAAAATAGCACCTTCAAAAACAAACTGCTTTTAAACGGATCAACAAAGTAAGAATTTAGAGTTCATGGCAAACCTTCAACTATAGCTTGAATTTCATAGAGAAATCAAATACAACAGAGATTTCAAAGGAGATATGAGATTCCGGAGACAGAGAGAGAGAGAGAGAGAGAGAGAGAAAGAGAGAACTTCGAAAAGAAAATTTTTGGCTGCTCTAACCTGTTTGGAGCTCGAGAAAGTGGAAGAAAATTTCCTCAGAAAAGAAAACAAAATATCGTTTTGCGATCTTCTTTCGAACTCGAGCTTCTTTCTCCTTATATCTTCACTTTCTATTTCTCTCTCGGTATGGAATTTTTTTGTTGCATTTTCAACACATTTTCTTCTGATTTTCTCTTCCAAAAATCTGCTTGGGCTTTTTGGATTTGCAAACAAAGATTTTTTTCAGACACCCTATTTGATCGATTTTCTTATGATTCTTTCTATCTTTCCTCCCTTTTTTCCTTTGTAAATATTATTATCTGCATTATTTTTTTTGGAACTTTGGGTTCAATTGCACGTAATTGTAAGGAACGTGCTTAGCACGCTTTGTGTTTTGGCATGTGTAGAAATACGTGTTTAGATAATATTGGAAAGTGTTTTGCACGCGCAGATAGTATGTTCTGACGGCAACTGAGGATATGATAAAAACGTGATTTCCTAGAGCAGATAATTTTCGAACATTGTACTACTCATTATTGGCAATTCCATGTTTGACTCACAACGGAAGTATGATTGTAGTATTTTTTGGAATTTTCATAGCCTTAATTTTTGAAAAAAAAAGGTACAAGTTTTTTAAAAAAAACTTTCACTCGCATTGACCGTTAATGGGTGAATAAAAATTTTCAAATTTCATTAAAAAAAAAAATATTATAATATTTTCTTGGGGTAAATAATATTGGATAGACTATAGCAAGAAATAATTATGTTACACTACTTCAATCTTATAATATTTTTTATTCTTGTAGTATCATAGCTCAAGAAATTTAGTATTCTAATTTCTACGTCATTATGAATAAAATGATTTGTAGTAACTAATGCAAATCAACATAAATGTGACCATAAATTTTTAAAAATCCAATGAATAAACTAATTTATTTTTTTTATTTTAAGAAAAAGGGGATTCAAATTTTGCTTTTGAAAATAAAAATACATGTACTAACAATTGAATCCTAGTAACTAAATCCTAAAGGAAATATGAAAAAAATAATAATGGACTAGTAATCAAACACCCAAAGAACCTGAATTTGCAAATTTTCCTTACCTTTTTTATATGAAATTTCCGGCACATAGACAATTTGCAATTAATGCTGGGCTAGCACTTACTGTGGAGCCAGTTGGAGTAGGCCTAATCGGCTGTGCAAACCGGATTGCTGTAGACTGTACATGAGAAGAGATGCCCGAGAAAGGCCAGCATTCAACCACTAAAGAGAGCTCTTCGCGGGTCGAGCTGTCCACTACAGTAACTAGATGGAACAGCCGAGAGCTCCTGCCTTCCTCTCCACTCTTCACCAGGTTTCAAGGTGATGGGATTCTCCACACAAGCAGCTTCCACACAAAGCATATGTTTATACTCATCATCGCCCAAATCAGCCATCGCCTTTGCTTTCTTATCCCAGGGATTCCACACCACTGAAAAAATATAGGAACCAAGCTGTAACCAACACATCTAGCCATGTTTTACATGCTTCTCCAATAATGTAAAAGGAAACATTAAGTGATGCATATGTTGCATAATTTAGTTAATAATCTTCAGCTGTTAAGTATACAGTAAATTTCTTACATGTTCAATCAATATGTTTTACTATTAAAAAGATTGTAGGCTATGTTGTTTGTAATAAATATAGTATAACAGTTCAAGTACAGCAACAGCTACAAATGGAACTTTCACAGTGAACTCAAAATAATAGCCAGTTACAAACATTCGTTTATATGCACACTGAAATGACAAATACAAGACCTTAGGTCCAGCAGCGTCAGATCAAAGCTTTCTTGGAATAATACAAAACTGGATGAAGATTTTATATTAAGCTACATGTATGACTCCGGTTTTCGAAGCCCCATCACTGCAATGCATGGGACAAAAAGTAGTTGTCTTTCATTCTACGCAATTCAGGTTACGCAAGCAAATTTTCCTCCATATAACATTGAGAGAACAGGGTAAAAGAACAAAAATATTTTGAAAGGGAAAAGTCGATAACAGTAGATTTACTGGAAGGGAAGGGTGTCATGAGATACAATCCTTTAACATGGAAAATAGAGTAATAAACGGAGTTTTGGTAAAAATAATGCTATATAGATAATTTGTTATATTTCACTCCAAATACTGTGTCAACTGATTCTAGAGTTGTTAATTTCCAAGATGAAGCGTGGACCAGAGATAAAATATTTGTATCTCCAATCTGTAATACACCTTCTACCATGACCTATCCATAATGCTCTAAATTAGTGTGGAAGTGTATAGAGACAATAAACTCACCAGCATCTGGAAGTCCATCCTTTCGCAACACAAACGTTCGCTTCCTTTCATGGTCCAGGATAGCAATTTTTGTTGGCGCACCGAGATACACTTTATCCACCTTTTTCACCAAGAAGAACAGTAAACATAAATCAGTAAATAGTAAATACAAATTAGAATTAAAAAGATGGGAAAACATAACCCTGCTCATAAAAATTGACACTAACTTCTGATTCAAATGTTATTGCATCTCCTTGTTCAGTGAACCGCTCTCTGTTCTTTAGGTTATCCAAATAATCCAGTGTCTCTAGTCCTTCTACTCGCACTTCACTAAATAAAAGTAAAATGAAAAGGATTTGTAATGAACACAGAATGAATAATAGCAACATCTAATAGTAATGTATCATAATAGCAACATCTAGAACAGAGGGTTTTTTTCACTTTCAAAGAAAAAAAAAAAAGAGAGCTTTTTCATTCCATCTATAACATAAACATGTTATTAAAAGGTGAACCAAATAGAACTTGCTTCTAATCATAACTTTAATTTCTCTATATAACATTTCAAGATAAAATCATCATATGTTGCAAGAATATTTACAACGTCAATGTGAAATAACAAAGCAAATCCATTTACCTAGCATGTAGAAGACTGTAGCATGCTTGAACATAAATCATGTGTAAATAAACTACTTATGTTCAGTGACTAAGCACAACTCTGATCTTATTCATACTCCTGATTTTGACAGGTCTATATCCCCCCCCCCCCTTTTAAGGCTTTAGGGTGATTTCATTATGGAATGGTCACCAGAGATTGCATTCCACACTGCTTTCAAGACTTAAGAAAACAGTACCAAGCATTTTTAACTATAAAAAGACTGCAACTGGCAAATGCATAATACCGTATTTAAATGCAGAGAATCTCGTGACTAAAAACCACAAGATAGCAAGATAAATATATTAAACCTGATATCAGTGACGAAAAAATAGGTGTGATAGGCAAATGTAAACGTAAACGACTTTCCATCAGTGTTTGTATTTCGAATGCGGGATGTCAACATCAAATCACCTCCAGGTCCCAAAGCTACCCTTAACCGACACTCATACCTGCACATAATTGTGTATCCCTTAATCCAAATAATAGAACTTCAATATCAATCTCCAGGCGGAAGTAATGCTGTAAGTGTACATACCAGATGCAAAGACAAGTAACACACAAATGTAATCATTTAATCCATAAATCTACATACAGACCAGTACCACAAGATATTTAAGATTGATTTCAAAACTAGATATGTGTTAGCTCCAAAAAAGCACACAACCTAATGCCATAAATTAGAAAATTCTTTTTATGGCAAAAACAGGAATTCTATAGAGGAAATGAAAAGCATTAAAATCTGGTCCAGACAGCACTTTAATAGTTATTTCATGCTAGTTTAACAACTTTGCTTAAAAGAAGAGAATTGAAATTGAAAGGCCAATATAAGAACTGTGTCAAATAAATCAAAATTCATATTGAGTAATGCACCTATGAGGCCAGATCTTCACATCTTCTTCAGAGGGCCTGAGGATTAAGTCAACAAAGGCCCTGTGAGAAGTATTTGATGGAAATGGTGGGGGATCAGGATCAACACTCCAAACTCGATTCCTTGCAAATCCATGTTGCTCGAGAGAACCAATATTTCTGAACTGCATATAAAAGATAATTAAACTAGGAAACAAAGATAAACGATTAAAAAATGAACAGATAAAAGTATTGAAGCACATACTTGAGGAAAACAGATTGGTACACCTCCACGAATAGCCTTAGGAGGCTTAAAAATAGCCTGCAGAAGCACAAACTATTATTTGAAAGGGAAATTATAAAAATTTGGTAGATCCATTCAGATTGCTAGTTTTCTTCATATATAAAAATCAATATACATCGATCATTGCAAGTAATTAATCGACACACAGAACCATCAATTGGGACATTTAATAGAAAACAGTTGCCTGAGTGGGAGAAAATGATAACAGCATTGCCAGGTAAAAGCCATTCCATGAACTATGCATGCACATTTTGAGACTATCTTTAATGAAGGGTAGATCATTAATTGCAGGACAAGAGGTTACTTTAATTCATTTAAATTCTTAAGCTAAACAGCTTCTTACAAGAATAATTCTAAAACAGATACCTTACTACTTAAGAAAAGCAACTCTTCCCTGAGTTCATTCTTCCAAGAAGTGACTTGACCTCCATACAGATACACCTGTATAAGGGGAAAAAAACTAGAATGAATAAAAGAAATTCTGTTTGTTTCCTAGGTGTACATTAAGTTTTTCAGGTTAAAAAGAAGAAGAAGCACTTTATAACCAGCATTCATGACTTCCTCAGTTCTAAAAATAGGATTTCAAGAACACTAGTTCCACTTTTAAGCACATTTATATAGGAAAAAAAATAATCAATAAAATTGAACACATTCAAACAAACCAATTAATATTCAGACTAATACTTATCAGTAGCAAACAAAAGGTGAGGTAAAAGGTTCCCATGATTTGCAGGATACTAAAATGGATTATTATCTATGCAATGGTGACGGAGTTCAAAAACTCTACAAGTGGATTTAATTGATTATCACGTGTCTATTTAACTACATATGTTAATTCAATAATTCAACAATGACTTCATTAGTTATCATCCAATAGGAACATGGTAAGCATATTAACTCACTTGTGGACGTTTTAAACTCCCTCATCAGTGTATAGAATAACAGTCTTTACTAACATTCCTATCATGACTTACCAATAAGAGACATCACGCATGCACAAATGCACATCGGTGCACGATAACAAGGAAAAGAAAGATGTTCTAAAACATCTTATACACATGGCATAAACTCTTTCCAATTTAAAATATATCACAAGTTTTTAATACGCAAAGAACCTTACGAGTACTTGTCCAGTAAACACTCTCGATTATTCTCATTAGTAAAATAAATTCTTCAATCATCTCAACAAAAATGTCTAAGAGGGAAAGTTTTCGCAAATCAAAACTTGACACAAATAGTGATCGTGTGCTCAAAACTGCACCTCGAGTTTGTTTTGACAAGAATCTTTTGTATTATTTCGACCGATTGATTCAAACATTTTACTTTCCTTTCTGTTGACATCCTCACTTTCTTCTTTTCACTATAAAACACACTCAATCTATTTACGACTAGGACAAAAAAAAGAATTCTTCTTAACCTAAATTCAATGAAAAGTAAACGAATCATGATAAGATCTATTAAGCAAAACAGTTACAAGATTAAATCATCAGAGTTTCATTATACAGACAATTAATATAACCGCAAGATCCAAATCAACAAGTGCAAATATCAACTGAACAAATCACGCAAAACTCTCAAAAGAAACCGTAATTTTTTACAATGCGGCTAACATTTTCACGCAGATGTGAAGATTCCGAACTAAAATCATAATAATCATTTCGTTCCGAAAAAACAGAGACAAGAAGAATGATCGGGTTACGAAACGCAGAGGAGAGAGAGAGAGGGAGGAAACCTCAGCAGAGCAACCGCGAATCTCCCTTAAGATAACCTTGTCGAGGCCATTGACGCCTTTACAGTGCTCCACATGCACCTTCTCTGAAGACATCTAAGGAATTCTAGAATTTCTTGCTTGCGATTGAATCGTTCTTCCGAAAGAGAAAGAGTAAGAAAAAAGAGAAAGAGAAGTAGAGTATTTTAGAGGATTTTCGGAGGGGTCTACTAATTAAAGGAAATATCAGATTATTATGACAAAGCTTTTGTCATTTTCTTTCTACTACCGAAGACTAAAGTTTTTTTTTTTTTTTAATCTGTTTCATTATCCGTAATATTTTTTTGGTAAGTTTTATTTCTAAATTCGGTTTTCCTTTTAAGGAAATGAGTTGCTTTCACGTGTTTATATATTTTTTTAAGAAACCTAACAAGTATTGATATAATTAATTTAATATTAAATCATAAATTAAATTATAATTATTAATTAATTAATTAATTAAAATATAATTGAATAATTAAATTCATACACAATAAATTTTAAACATAAAATATTAAATTTTGTTACGATAACATTAGTATCTTGTTTATTTTTAATTATTACTAGAAAAAACAAACAACATACTAAAACACAAACAACATAATATTACTTTAGAATGTTATTGTGTTGTTTGTTTTTTATTACAATGAAACTTTACTATTACTAGAAATGTTGTTTGTTTTTTATTACTAATAGAAAAAAAAAAAAAACAACATAATATAACTAAAGTATAATGTTTGTTTTTTATTATAATGAAACTTTACTATTACTAGAAAAAAGCCATATTATCTTCTCAAATTAAGTGCAGACCTTATAATTTTTTCCTAGATTCAAAAGGGTATATATTACTTCAATTTTTCTAATTTTTGGTAGAATAACTCAAATTTTCTATTCAATTTTATTTTTTTTAAATCACTTTCATGAAAATTAAATATCAATAAGGCATGCAAAAAAAAAATTTTTTTAAGTAAATGAGAAAACCTAATCAAATAATCATGTTTTGGTTCCAATTTTGATTTAAAAAAAAAAGGAATGAAAGAAAACTTTCTCCTTATTAGATAAGATATACTTCTTTCATTCTTATTTGTTTGTCTTATATTGACTTTCACAGAGTTTAAGAAAAAAGTTTTAATTTTAATGTATTTAATATTAAAATTAAATTTTTTATAAAATTAAAGTTTAATAATTTTTAATGTTAAAAATTAAAAAGATCATTAAAAAATAATTTTAAAATATAAAAAAAAGGGAATTTTAGACATTTAAAAAAAAAGACATAATTTTGGGTCACTCCAAAAAATAAAGATAGATAAAAAGATGGGACAGAGGAAGTATAATATATATATATATATATATATATATATATATATGTAGATATATATATCCCCACAAAAATTCAATACCAAGTGAACACAATTTTTCATCCTTAATTTTTGTCTCTCTTTATGACAATACAAACTGAGTGCAGCATAGTTGTTTGATCTACTTGTGTTTCGTGTCCTATAACAGTGGCAATAGGCAGGCGGAAAAGGTGTTTATAGTTTGCATGTTACAGCTAGCATCCGGGTATGGAGAAAAGCCAAACAAAGCACTGACTTGGCAGCAGTAAATCGTCTTAATTTATTGAGGGTAACTAAAATTCTAGCTTAAAAAAATTGTCTGAAGTCTGAACATGTTTCTCTTATTAAGGTTTAAAATTTTCAAAACCAGATTCGTTTTTTTTTTTTTGAAGTTTTATTTTGGTTTTAGTCTTAATAATCTGCATTTTGTATCATGTAGTCCATATAAAACGTCATTATCTTCTTAAACTTGTTAAAAATTATATCCCACTTCCATATGCTAATCCTTTGTTAAACTTGAGTTTTGTGGTCGTTCTCAAGATTTGACAGTCCATTTCTTGCCATCTGGCCACCAGGCTAAAGTGAAGAAAGCTGTTGGTTAATTTGACCTGGATTAAGATTTGTGTAGCCGAATAATGATGAATTGAGATTTCTTAAGTTTGCAACTCAAAAAAGCTAGAAACAAAAGCGTTAAGATATCAGCGTTTTGAAAAATTGGAACATCTCATCATAGTAGGTGAGTGCAAACCAAAAATTCAAATATGAAAAGAACCCAAAATTTGCTCTTGTCCTATCTAGCCAATCGTGGTAAGCAGGAACCAAGCCGAAGTGAAAATCATAGGGATGGAGGCAAGAAGATAATTCCCAGAAGTTAAAGACATGGCAGAACTTTCATTATCAGAACCAGCTGGACCATCTGCTACTGGATTAGATGGTGATCCAGCGGGAGTATCAGCTGAGGGTGCTGTAGCATTGCTTGGGTTAGGCGGGGATGCAGCTGGGGACTCGTTACTGGGTGCTGGTGCTAGGACCTTCCTTGGTGGAGAAGCAGCGGGAGTAGTAGTTGGGAAAACACCTGCGACTGCACTAGATGGCGATCCTGCAGGAGTATCAGCAGAGGCTGCAGCAGCATTGCTTTGGTTAGACGGGGATGCAGCTGGGGACTCCTTATGACTGGGACTGGGAGCTGGTGCTAGGGCCTTCCTTGGTGGCGAAGCATCGGGAGGATTAGTTGGGGAAACCGCGGGTCCTGACGCAGGAGGGGAAGATTGGGTTGTTGAATTTGAGCCAACGTTGATAACATTGCTGATTTGCAATACTGAAATGCTATACGGTTGAGAAGAAACGGTTTTAACGAAGATGGAATCGGGGTTAGAACAAGGAGCAGCAGATCCAAAAACCACCGAACCATTGCGCACAAGAGTCACATTCAAGAAACCTTGTAGGTATTGGGCATGCCCACTTTTCTGGTAAAGTGTGGTGAGGGTTATTGGTTTAGCAGGCAGGTGTTGGAGCTTCGCTGCATCAAAATAATCGAGTATCACATGCACGCTCAACATCCTCTTAATTGCATCTAGCCACTTGCCAGAAACAGCTGACATCTTATCATCGGCAACAACAAGGACAGTAACGGTTTGCTCGCTGTTGATTTCACCCGCAACTCCAGTTCGAATCAAATAGTTGTTGAATGTGGCGAAATCTGGGTACGGGCTGAGGATTTCAGTGATGTTAAAAGCATCTGCTGCTGACAAAACAAGGAAAAGGGAAAACAAGAGAGCAACTACTGGAGAACACATGGGAGACATTATTTGATCTTCAACAATATGAATCTATGGTACGGACAGGGGTTACAATAAAGGATTTATACCAAAACATGTGGATTCTAATTGAAGTCTATTTGTAGGATTGAGTTTATTCGGCCAAATAAGTGGGGTCAGAGAAACAATGAGAGCAGATAGTGGAGGTTCTTTGCAATTTATAAAGCCAGATGCCAGTTCCACACCATGTTTGAAACTTGGCCTTCTAAATATAGTAAATTCTGAACCATATGGGAAAATGGATCTCATTTTTGTATTTACTCTTTTCTTTGAATTAATGTCACTCTCAACCTATTATTTTTTATTAATTCACTTGAATTTAACTAATCACACAATAAAATTACCATTAATGTTTTTTAAATTTCATAAATGAAATCTAAAATATATTTAGAAAATTAAAAAATTATACTAACAATGTATAAAATACTGTCTCTCATATTTATTTAAATATTTCATTTAAAATCAATTATCAATAAATAAAAAACCCAAATTAAAATACAAGTATTATATTATATTTTTTTAATTTGGACACTGCATTAAAAATTTTCATTAAATACAAAACTAAATGGAGTATGACATTTTATTTAAACTATAGAGAAATAAAATATCTTGAAAAATAAGAACAATTCGGGTTTCAATACAATTATGCAATCACCAAAAACCATTTAAGCAAGAAAGTTATAACTGAATAAAAGAAATACTTTCATTTTAATACTCTCTTCCCCATATTTTCTTGGAAACCAAACAACAATGAAATAGGAGCATCAACAATCCGAACACATAAATTTTCCATAAAAATTCGATTCCCATTACATCTCTTAAAAACACAAAAAACGAAAGAGATCTAGATCCGGATTTCTAAGAAAGACAACCTAACCGCCAAAACCGTAAAGAGTTCGGCCCTGTCTTTTCAAAGAATAAACCACGTCCATAGCAGTAACCGTCTTTCTCCTGGCGTGCTCGGTGTACGTAACCGCATCGCGGATCACGTTTTCAAGGAAAATCTTGAGAACACCTCGCGTTTCCTCATAAATAAGACCGCTTATCCTCTTCACTCCACCTCTTCGAGCCAGCCTTCGAATAGCCGGCTTCGTGATCCCTTGGATGTTGTCTCTCAGTACTTTCCTGTGCCTCTTCGCACCTCCCTTTCCCAACCCTTTGCCTCCCTTTCCACGACCAGACATTTTTTCTTTTCTTTTTTCCTCTCTCTGAAACGTCAAACAAAATTTTGGTGAAATTTTTTAATAAAAACAAGTTGGATTGGATTTTGATGAAAGAGTATTGAAAAACCCTCGTTTATTTATAGAGTGAGAGAGTTTGGCTTTTTGCCGTTGGATGTCAATTTTAATCGGACGGCTAAGAGAATCGATCCGTGTGATCTGGTTCCTTTTGGCGCGAGTTAAACAAGAAGAAGATTTTTTTTCATTATTTGATTTTTGGATTTCAAATTTTTACAAAAGCGCGCGCGGGCACGTGAAATAAGTGTGATATGAACTGGAAAAGAAATTGAAGGCCAGCCCATGGCCCATGAAGAATAATAGATTGGGCCCATTGCAATTTAGAACCCACTTTTAATTTTCTTGGTAGGTCAATTGTCTTCTGTTCTTATTTGGTTCTAATTTGCTTAAGAAAAATAAAGCTTATTTGACTAGCTTTTTTAATGCATATAAAATTTATATGCGTTATTAATGAATTATATATATTATTTTATTAATAAGTAAAAATAAATTTTTATTGGCTCTTAAGATAATTAAAAAAATTATTTTTTTATTAATAAAATTACATCATATAATTTATTGATATTATATAAAATTTATACATTAATAAAGTCATGAACAGCTAGTCAAACACAATGAAAAGTATGATTCTTTGAAAGAACAATGACCTTAGGTCCACAATTCATGTTTGATGTATAAAATTATTGATAAAAAATGATAATAATCATCTTATATTATGTTTAATTTGTATCTAAAGAAAAATTATAGGATTGTAAATAAGATTACCCATCTTCTTAGTATAGAATGATTTAATCATCTCAAAATGAAAAAAATTATTTGTAATCCATAAGATTAAATTTACATGTCCTGTTATACCTTTAAAATTATATTAATAATTTAAATTATATAAATTTTGAAAAAAAATAATTTTAACCAATAAATAAATTATCTTATTTTAATACTTGTATATATCAAATACAAAATAATATAATATTATTTAATATAATATTAATTATAATATCATTTTATCTCATCGTATCGTAATTTTATGTACCAAATACTTCAACGGTTTCTACAATTTTAGGTGGAAATGCTATATTATGTGCTTGCATCGGCCATCAAATGTTTCAACAAACATCACTTGGCTCTTGGTGGTAGCTATATTTGTTGGCTTATTTTAGCCTCTTTAATCATCGTGAAGAACAAGGCACTCCACTTGTTCTGGTTCTTCTAGATAAACAAACTTTTCTTATTCAATATCCATGCCAAGTGAAGTAAGAAGATCTTTTATGTGCTTGACTTTGGTTTTTCACCATCAATGTTAAAGCAAATGGCGAGATCTAACATGAAGATGAAGTTCACATATTAATTTCATGTAGCTTGTAACTCATAACTGATGAAGATGGAAGCAGTTACACTAAGACATTGTCCGACCAACTTCAACATCAAGAAAATTTGCTTCTTCATAAGATTAATTCATTATAATAGAGTTTGCAGAACAATTTCTGCTGCACAGATTAAACCCCGTATAAGAACCGACAAACATAAGTCGACACAAAATAATCTACTATAAATGAATTGTGTTTTTTTTTTTTTTTTCCAAATTTAAATACCCTCAATTTGCCTAGAAAAGCAACTAGTAATTTGCCACAAAGATGCTAAAGGAATTTCAGTTTTCCATGGGACAAAGTCGACCTCGCATGCTGCAGTTTACACGTTGCTTTCTGCGTTCCTTTCAACCCGGAACATGTATCTGTGGCCCCTAAAGTAACAGCAAAGTAAAGGTAGATGGTACAGAGGAATGCTAAGAGTCCCAAAGCTGTTAAGAGGAATCTATGCCTCTGAACAAGTGTTGTACAGCTACCCAACTCATCTTTTGGGAATTGCTTCCTCATTGATCCTGACCTCCAATGGGGAGAAGATACAACGCTGTCAAGAACCATAGCTTAGAGACTAAAGGTCCTTAGCCAATGTGACCTGAAATCATGCAGCCAATGCGTTCATCGTCACAGTTAAGAAAACAAGCTGAAGACAAAGAACATAGCGTGTAGGAACTATTTTGGAAAAGACAAGAAGAACGTCGTGCTAAACATTAAACTACCAACAAAACAATGTAAAAAAAGAAAACAATCAGCAATATTTAATTTCCCAAAGGAAAAGACCGGGACAACAAAACATCCTTCTTCAATACAGCAGTCTAGACCTCATCTTAACCAAGTGTGTGTGTTTGTGTAGATATATCTTTTCACTGGAATGCTTTTTAAGACGGCCTCATCTCACGTACAACAAAGGCTAAATCTATCACATCTATTGAGGCATATATCCGAATACACAAAGATTGACCAACACTGACAGGAAAATGTTAAAAGAGAGTATCAGTATCAGCTAGAACTAGAATGAAAAATCTTTTGCGGCGTCAACAGTACTGTGAAATTTTGTTTAATTAGCTCAGAGTGATTATAAAAAAAAAAAAAAATTCCATTGGTCCAATCTGAGCTTGAAGATCGATAACATTTTAGTATTTTACCTCCAAATTTCAACAGGCAGGAAAAACCATAATTGTCAAACAAAATAAATAACATCTCATGAACATGAAGTAGCTTCATTAATTCTATACCAACAAAGAATAATTTTTTAATTTCCCCTTCACCTGAAAATTATATTATGCTTTAATTATTTCTAATAAGACAGATATTTAACCAAAAAGATACACATTTCTGTAAGATAATAATTCATAACAGTTCCCTTCAATTCCTTAATCCCGCTAAAGAAAACACGTTATCAACTCAGATCATTAAAACCCAAAAATAAAAAGCCTGTATACCATGTCAAATCTACAAGAAAAACACATCTCGCCCACAAACATTTAACAACCTTGATAATCAATGCATATTTCTATTAAACAAACATCAAATTCAAAAACCCATCTCTATCCTTAAAAAATAAACAAAACCCAGATCTACAAATGAATCAAAGAGTTGAAAAAACACTTACAGATTGACAAAATCAAGGTTGGATCAAAGGGAAGAAGCAATCAATGGATATAATAAATTTCTCGACGTTTTCCCTTTATAATCACTCTTCTTCCCCTTGTGTTCCCTTGTCTTCTCCTTTCGTCACGGTGCAAGGGAGGTTTATAATAGAAAAGAAAAAAGAGATGATTGCTTTTTGTGGGGCCCAAATTAGGAGGAAGGCTTTGATAATTTTTTACGTTCAAGGTCGTTTAATTATAACGGATCAAACCCGCGTGTGGTGGGAAATGGAAAGTGCGCTCCGCGTTCCGAGCATTTGTTGTTTTTTTTTATCTAATTTTGATTTTTTCTAATTTCTTAATCTAAGTTCTTAACTATATTTTCATTTTTAGTTTGAAATGAAAGTCCTAATCTTAACATTCTCCACCTCTTGATCTAGTCGTTAAAAAAGTTTTATGAGAACACGAATTCTGATTTCGAACCATGATATCCTCCCATTTTCCTTTAGTAAGGGTTATACCCTTCACTGAATAAAAAAAATCATAATTTTAACTGTATCAATTAATTAATCAATTTTACTCTTTTTTCTTGAATAATATTTTATTGATTTTGTTGATTTTATATAAATTTATCAATTTTAAATATAATATAAAAAAATATGTGAATGTGACATAAATTAAAATTTTAATAAAAATCGTATATAATTTGACGAAAATAAAAAAATTTAAAAAACATATGATTTACTCGAACGATGAAAATAGTATATTTTTCTCTTTATTGCTTTATTCAAATTCATTAAATGGCTATACAAAGTAATTTTTCATATATTTATTAAATTCGATGTAAAAAAGTTTAGTCGGACTAAATCATAGAAGAGATATTGAGATGAAGCTTAAAAATTTATTATTATTAAATAAAAAATAAAATATATATATATGTATTTAACATATAAATATGAATTATAACATAATTTAATATAAAATAAATATAACATAAATATGCTTTTACTTTGATCGGTGTGTCATGTAGAATTGAGGTTTTTCTATTATACGCCATACATGGTGAAAATGATATTTAATACTATGATTTTATGGTGGGCTAATACCTTCTACAACTTTTTTTAGATCAATATTGGTTTGGTTTGAGCTTTGCAAATTTGTCATTTGTAGCACATTAAAGGTTAAATATAGGTATAAAAATATAATTATACATTTTTTATAAGAATTTTATAAGTTAAAATAATAAAAAAATTAAATTTTATCACTTTATTTTTATAAATTTTTATGTTTTAATTATATTTAAATAGGTCTTTAATTTTTAATTTGTATCTAAATAAATATTTAACATAAATTAACCTTTCATTTGAAATAAATTTTTATTTAAATATAAATAAAAAATAATTTAAATTTATAATAAAAATTTATTTTAGAAAATAAAATATTTAAAATATTTTAATATTTTAGTCAATTTTATATTATGCATCCTAAGTTCTTTCTATCCACTACGAAAATAATACTATAGTAAAAAGTTCAAAAAATAAAGAAAGAAAACATTCCTTTTACTAGCGTAATAGCATTTTATCCACCGTGTCTAATCATTAAAAAAAAATAAAAAACCAAAAGACAATCCAAACCGTTCATCATTCAAGGACGAACGGGGAAAGTTGCTACCGGTTTTGATCAGTAAATTACAGGAGCTGTAACATATAAACAACCGCATATGATTTAAGCTTTGGAGCCTGACTGAGAATGCAATTCCAACTCCTCCTTTGAAGTCTTATCCTATATTCTTTGCGCTACCCCAGTGATTGTCGTCTTCGCGTAACTTTATCTCCCTCAGTTTCTCAGGCAAGAAAAAATTTTAAATTTGTTCATAGTTAGAACAAGATTTTGAAGGCTTTTCTAATTGAATCCTCAACAATTCAGGTGTTGTTCAGAATTTATTAATTTATTTAAATTTCAGATAAAGGTGTTTTTTTGTTGTTGTTACAGTAGTTAGGACTTTGGGGATTGGCGAGTTGATTGATTGTTGTTGTGGTTGAAAAAGATGTGGCTGCTTCATGCCTTGCAACACGTTGTGCGGCGTGCGCCTGAGATGCTTGCCGCACGGTGGTTTCGGGGATTAGCCGGAGGTCCGGTAGGATCGTCTATTGTGGACTCTTCGCCCTTTCTCTGATTGTTTCGTGGATCTTCGTGTGGTTGCCGCCCTTGTAAGTTTCGTTGAATTGTGCCTTTCTTTTTTATTATTTCTAAATTTATTTTATTCTTTATGTTATTTGTTGTTCAGAGTATATCAGAGGATAATTAGTTTGTTTTGAGATTCCAATATAAAATCTTGGTTAATGTTTAACTTGGCGAATGATGCTGCCAAATAGTTAGTAGCATCCTAGCATTGACGTATTCAAAGGATAGAGAAGTCGAATTCTAGGCTTTGGTTTTCTAGTACAGTAATTTGTCTCATGAACGTTGGGTTACTCTGAGATAAATGCATTTTTTACATGCTCTGTTAATGTATTGGGTATTTTAGGGAATCCGAGGAATGCTCATATTTCCATGCGAATCTGGAATCCATCACCATTCGCCATGTTTGGTGCTATGATTTATTGAATCAAACTTATTTCCAGGATGAATTGCGAGCTTGTCCTTTTAGACATTTTCCTATATAATGTTGGAAAGTGAGCTTGTTTGCTGTGTCTTGCTTATACTTAGTTTGCTGAGTTATTGTTATTTATGCAGGGATCAATAATTTTCATAAAACACCTAACTGGGAATGGTTTTAAACAAATGCGGTGCTGAGGGTTAGGTTGGGAAATTTTATGATTTTTTACTGTCCTATCAGTTTTAATGATTGGTGTCAAAAATCAGAGGGATCTTCGTGATGGTTTGCACCATGGTGGTTGGATGATGAAAATTGTCTGCTAGTTCATTTTAGTGATTTTAATGTTTTTTGTTCCAAATGAGATAATCAGCTTCTATGGTAAACAACATTTTGTGTGAATCATTCTACTAAATCAAGAATAGCATCCTTTTCAAAATTTTTTACTTGCTATAGGAGATAATTTTCTTACAGAGCATTTATAAATGATTAGAGGAGATAATAATTTGGCTAAAATCACATCTAGTTTGACTTAAGCTGACACTTAAATGTTGCATTTGCAGAGTCAATATCAAAGTTTCGCTCAGGACTGTTTCTTTTGGTTGAAGTTGTGCTTTTACTTGACTTTGTTCATGGATGGAATGACCAATACGTTGGATATGATGAGCAGTTCTGGTTAGTTTTTCTTTTATGATGTTTTATGGTATCTCTTCTTTGTGTTCTTCAGATTAGATGACATCCTTGCCTTTTCTCTTTAGGTATGTTGCTCTGTTTTTTGTTTCACTTGTTTGTTATTTTGCAACATTTGGCTTCTCGGGACTTCTTTTCCACTGGTTCAAACCATCTGGACAAGATTGTGGACTCAATACCTTCTTAATTGTAATATCTTGATTCTTGTTCTTTCGTTTGCCATGGTTGCACTGCATCCTGCAGTAAGTCTCTACTTTTGGGTCTTCACAATTATAATAGCCCTTCAATTATCAATTCTATTAGTTTGTGTTTTGTGGATTACAAATGTTTAAGAGTTAACACTTTAATTAGAGTAAAGTTGATGCCGCCCTGTGCTAAATTTCTCATCTCTTGTATTAAGATCAGCTAGATCTCTTGTGCATTATATACCATTAATGGAAAGTGGGCTGGCCTTAGCTTGGGTTGATGTCCCCTGTTAGATTAATGATACTGTTTCCATGATTGATAAATTAGATACCTTTTCAAATAGGATGATCATAAGCATGTAGATACAAACATATATTTTCTGTTTTCCATCAGTGAACCTATTGCAAATAAAGGATATATATAGAACCAACATAAGGATGAATTGATTGCAAAAATGGCTTAGATTGGACAAACTATTTTAATATTAGACCTTATGAGAATGCTCTTTGTTGTGTCCCATAAAATTGAATTATTGACGTCTCATCTCTCACTCTTATCAAGTTTTCATATCACTAGCATTTTAAAAGAAAAAAGAGGAGTAAAATTTTATCATTGTTTATAGAGCCATATTTCATAGCATCTACAAGAGTTATTACAATCTATAGAGATATTCTTCCTTCAGTCCTAATACATATATCTTGATGATTTTATTGTCTTATTATTTTGTCATTTAACAGTTGTAGCATTTTGCCAGCATCAGTTATGTTGCTGAACTTTATGTACCTCTGCCACAGTGGACTTGCAAGTGAATCAAGAGATTATGAATGCAACGGTCTTCACGATCATTTGAAAACAATTTCTACTGGCCCCCTGACCTTTGGCCTGCTTACTACTGCCCTGTCAGTAGTCTATTCAGCTATTCGTGCTGGGTCTTCTACAATTCTGCTATCCCCACCAAGTTCACCTCGTGCAGGTATTGTCCACAAAACTAGACAATCCTTATGCCATCCAATCCTTATACCATCCATAATCCATTAAATAACTGTTCATGGTGATATAGCATTTCTTTTTTAAAATTTGAGCCAAGTGTTGTTTATGAGCTCCACATTTTGGGATGAGAATGAGGGCCGGTATTTCAAAGGTCTAGCAACCTTTTTGATTTTACTGGTAAAAGAATTTATGTTGCTTACACTTTAGATGTATTTTGAGAATTTGGGTTAGCTTCTCCCTCTCTCTTCTCCAACCCTCTACCCCCTTCTTGTTGCAGATAACCTTTTTAGAATAGAAATAGAAAAATGAAAAAAGAGAATATGAAAATATCATATCATTAAGAGTACAATTTAACGTTCTGTTTGAACGAGTGAAGGTGTTGGAAACCCCTTGCTTCCATTGGACAAGGCAGGTGAGCAGGAGGACAAAAAGGGGAAGAACAGAATAAGCCAGTTACATACTTATACGCCTTCTTCCACCTAATCTTTTCTCTTACAAGTATGTACTGCAATGCCTTTGATTGGATGGTCAAACTTAATAGGGGAGAGCGGGAAGTTAGTCGATGTGGGGTGGCCATCTGTGTGGGTCAGGTTCTAACTGGGTGGACAACTACAGGTCTGTATCTGGTATCTGCTTGCTCCTATTCTGTTGGCAGACAAGGAATTCTAGGTCTCCAAAAAACAGTTGTCGGATATTATTGCAATAAATTTACTCTGTATATATGTGTGTGATCGGTGACGGATTTTTACCCAAATGAATGCCATTTGGACTCTACGGTATGTTCAATGAAATTAAAATAAAATGAATTTTGTTAAAGCCTGTATCAGAAACAATTATGATAAACACTCGTCAGTTTCTATGCTTCATCCCAAACAGTACCCAATTAAACATGTCAAACCAAAACTATGAATCAAATAAGGTAATATTCCTCCTTCAATCCTCAAAATCTCCAGCGTTTTCCAATAAATAGTTTGCTGCCAATTCCTCATTGCGATCACAAGCCAAAAAGGCTTCAATGACGAGAGCTCTATCAAATCCCATTGCTTCAAGCTTCAGATAAAATAAACTGCTAATCATTAGAAGTTTGAGAGGAAACCAAATAAAATAGAAAGAAAATAAAAAGAATGGAAACTGATTTGCATACTCGTTCAATAGCATCCTGCTCTGTTGGGGTGACATTGATTGTATGAGGCATGTCTTGTTCAGCCTGATCAAAAATACCCCTGAAACACCAATTTATGTTACTGGTCATAATGATGCTAAGTCAATGCATAGATAGCCTGCATCTTGATAATACAACAAAGCTACTGTTAATCTCAACATTGATGGTTGGAATCAACAATTTCTACTACCAACTACCAAGCTTTTAGAGAGAGTTTTAAAAGTTCAAAATTAACAGTATTTGTTACCGTTGAATATGAAAACAATTATAAAAACAAAAGAAAACAGGATAAAATAACAAACTTTCACCTCTATCTAAAATAAAACTATAGATGCTTCATCAAATTTTGGTGGTATCCAATAAGCACTCACCCTTCAGAACCTTCAAGAGGTTCATTTATTAGCTGAAGAAACTCTGTGTGATGCTCTTGAATTAGTCTTAAAAGCTGGGGATTTTGCTTTCCAAGCTCCTGTAGCATAGGCTGTAACAGGAGAAGCAGGTCAAATCCAGAACAATAAAAGCCATTGATGTTTAGTTATGAAAATATAGAAGTGTAAACCTGTAGAATTTGTGGATTTGATTGCACCATTGATCGCAATGCTTGGAACTGAATTGCAGCCAAAGATGCAGTTAGTATTTCATATGACAAAGAACTAAAAATCTTCATAGGTAAAGAGAGCAAATGCATAAAAATAATATAACAAGACTACACCTGTGGATTGTTTCTGAGGAAATCCAGGGATCCAAGTCCACCAGCATCGACACCAGAAAGTATTTCCTAATATCATTTCAGCATGCTAGCAATAAGAAATAAAAACCAACGCAAACAAGACTAACAACAATGTGTACATGTGATTGAAGTACATCAACAATCTAAGGTTTTACCTGAGGAAACATATTCAAAGGCGATGAATTAGGAGCCCCTGAAACAGGAGCAACAGGGGCTGCGCCAGTTTGAGTAGTCTGACTTGTAGGAAAATGAACCTCTGGCACAGCCACTACTGCTGATTCAGGAATCCCCTGGAGATAAAATAGCATAAAAACCGCATCCACAAAAAATAGAGTTGTTTAATGTTAGGATTCTAGCCTTACATACAATCATAAAGTTTCAGACATACAGAATATAGATAATCCACTGCTCGCTCTGGGTTGTTATAAGCAGCTCGAAGTGCCCGAGTTACTGTTTCTTTGTCCCATTTGCCACCGCCCATGTCCATCAATTGTTGGATGGTCTGTTCAAGATTATTTCCAGCAACTAAATTGGAAGCAGCTTGACTATAGGTATCGGTATTTGGACTGCAACAAGTTATAATAAAATTTTTCCCATTACTTTCACAATGTTCAGGAAATACCAAAAAGGAGGTGTGGTAGAGAGAGAGAAAGAGAGAGCTTCGATACACATTCTTCTCAAGAAACAAATAAACGAAAGAAGGAAAAAATTACTCAGATAACACCTGGCAGTTTCTCAGAATCTCTAGAGAGAAAGGAGAATCCTCCTAGCATTGTTTTTCAACAGATACAATCCCAGATAAAGCATAGAACTATCCCAGATGAAGCATAGAACTATGTATTACAATAACAAGTATACATGTATTTTGGAGATAGACACCACATACTTAGCTGTTGCAGTATCTGAAGCAGATGTCGTGCTCTTTGAGGCCCTAAGATGAAAGAATTTATGATGTGCATTAGATGACTGAAGCTGATCTCAGGAGCTTTTGAGGGAGGAAGAAAAATTGCAGAATGAACTTACAGTGCTTGTGCAGGAGCTTCTGGGGCGGGGGTAGGATTACAAACAGGTGCAGTTGTAGATGGATTTGATGAAGCAGGCTGTCACAGAAGACAAGGAAAAAGTTGTTTATATACTGACATAAAACTGGAATATAATGCTCAACGTAACAAGAAGATATATATGAAGAACACCTGAGTAGATGAGGCCCCAGCTGAATCCAAAGACTTGCTCTGTAAGAACAACCAAAGAATTCAAAATATGTATGTAATACTACAAACTACAAGTATATATAAAGAGCTAATGGTAAATTAGAATTTTATAAAACCATTCAGAGATATCAAAGCACTCTAGTCCATAGACAAAGGAAGCTAATAAAAAGTAATCATGAAACGACTCCACAATGCTTGTCAAAATTTTCTTGTTTCTTTCAAACACAGTATTCATTCAAGCTTTGCAGAATGAAGCCTTAAGCTTCTGATGAAAGTTCTCCTCAATACTATATAACCCCATATTGCTATTATATTCAAAATTCAAACAACCAAGGCAGCTTGCTAACGGGAAGTGCAAGAGAACTTAACTAACAAAATGTATCCTAGAATCAAATCCCATCTTCGATTAGGTAAATTCATCACTAAAATCAATTCAATTACCAAAATTAACCATCCATAATTAGCTACTAACGAAATTATCCAAAAATTATATTACTCAAAACACCTTTTCATCAAATTCCCATCTTGTATATCATATAACATATGAAATTAACTATCAAAGTAAACAACACTTGGAAAAAGCTTAGTAAGAAAATAATTTTCTTTTAAAATACCTTGCTAAGCATTACAACCAGAAAACCATCCTCGGAGACTTTGTTATCAGCTAATGTAGTTTCATCTTTCAAAACCTTCCCATTGTGAATCAAGAGCTGTTGCCCACATGGATAATTGTCTTTCCCTTGTATATCTTCTATCTTTTTTTTCACAGCCATAACCTAATCAAAAATAAATTTTAAAAAATGAACCTTTAAGCCAATTTTTTAACCCCAACAATAAAAGGGTAACTGAATAGCAATAAAAAGGAACAGTGAAGAGACAGAGCATTACGGTGTCGTTGAGCTGAACCCTAATTTCAAAGTGGCTGCCTTTGAGCGTTTTGACGGTAAGCTTCATTTCAGTGAATTGAGCAAGGACAGGTGGGGAAAATCGAAGCAGCAGCGTTTCAGATTGGGGATTTGAATCACAGAGAGAAACCTAGAAAATGATTTTTATAGGGATGCAGTAGAGAAACAGAATAAGGGAGAAAGATGCTTTATTTTTTATTTCAAATTTATTTATTATAAAAAGGAAAGCAAGGGAGCTTTTGTTGCACACACTGAGACAGGAGCTGCCAGATTTCGCCTTCGTTGTTTGACTCCCTACCTACGTTACCAATGTTTCATTAATGATATAAAAATAATAAGGGAATAATTAAATAAAAATTTTAATTTAAAATTTTAATTAGTTATAATAAAAAGTTAAAGATTAATTTAGAAAATTTTAAAAAAATATAAGCATATTTTTAATATTTTAACCTTTCAACAAAATTTAAGCTGGTTTTTTTTAATAGATTTTTAGAGCAATAATTAGTTGAATAATTTATTTGCCCTTCCTTAATTTTCTCGTATTACAAACGAAAGTTAAGGCGAGGTATGGATTTCATAATCCTAGTAGGGAAAGATAAATAAACATTATAAATACCAACTTCTTCAAGTTGACCATCTCATAAAAATAAATCAAAAAGAATAAAAAAAAAGAAAAGAAAAAGAAGAGTTTGACATGGATAATCAAAACATTGAGTTGACTTCGAAGGTTAGTGTACCTTTTGGATTTAGGTTCCGTCCAAATAATGTGGAGTTATTAAAGAATTATTTGCTCCCCAAAGTCACTAATGGCTACTATCAACCTGGCATCATCAACGAACTCAATGTTTATGAATATCAACCTTGGGATCTTCCTGGTCAATTATTTCCTATTCTTTCTTCTTTTTTTTTCCTTTTTCTTTAGTATATTCTTGTTTCCTTAATCTGTGAATATATGTTTCTTTCCTTTTTTCTGTTTTTCTAATCCATGTAAGTGTTTTGGTTAATTTGGAATGCATATTGCGATGACTGGTTTTTTTTTTTTTTTCTGGCCAGAAAAATGTTGATAGAAACTTCAATATTCATGCATGGAATGGAAACTTGGACAAATAGTATTTTCCTGGCAGATTAATTGCAAAAATAAATCATACATCGATCTTGTCTAAGTCTTGTATATCGTGTTCGAGATTATTGACAGCTTTCCAGTGCCACCCGATGACATGAAACCAAGAATGGTTGTCGCTGTATCAAGATCGAAGTTTTTTGGTTTAACCTGCTTGATCGAGACTTAATAATTTCAATGCATTTGCATGCCTATATATATATATATATATATATATATATACTTTATATATATATACTGAACTAATTTATAATTGATGCTGAATTGAATTTCTTTTATTGGGAATAATTAGGCATGGATGAAGATGAAGAACGAGAGGAAGGTTATTACTTCACCCAGAGAAGCAAGAAATACCCTAATGGGAGTAGACCGAGTAGATTTGTACACGTAAAAGGGAGTGATGATCAAGCAATAAGCCCTCAACCTCAGGGCTTTTGGAAGATGAGCTGTAAGATGGACGATATTAGAGACCCAGATGGAAACCTGCTTGGAAAGAAAAATAGTCTCAACTATTTCAGCGGTTCTGTCAAAACGGAATGGAAAATGCATGAATTTATGCTACATCCATCCTTGGTGCCATCCAAAAAGGATGGAAAAAGCGATGTGGTATGTATCATATATTTATTATTTGTAGTAGTTGATTTCAAAATCATTTTGTTTTTCCTTCAACATGCATGTCTAACATGGTTTTTTTTATGTGTTTTTTTTTTCAATTATTCGTCTACAGTTAGATGAGATGGTGCTGTGTAAGGTATATAGATATATAAAAGATGATAAGTCAAAAGACAGAAAGCAAGGGAAGGCTGCAGAAACGCCACAGATCAGGAGATGTGAAGGAGAACTCAGTCAGCAGATCAGCTCCACACGGCCAGAAACTAGTCAACGACCTTTGAAACTCAAGCAGCCTTCGAGTTATCGGCAAGAACAATCAAATAAACGAGCTTTGGCTGCTGCACCCATAGCACGAACAGTTGAACAACCCTCGGCTTATCCTGTCCCTCTAACTCTAGTTAGACAAGTACCTTCGACTGCTCAACCTGATCTGACACATCTGGTTCGAGCACAAACGACCTTGACAGAACTGTCGATGCCACTGCCGTTGCAACCTATACAGAATCACATTGTATATCTAGCCCCGGCACAAGGTGGAGGACCAGTATCCCATTTTGTTCCCAATGAAGCACAATTACCACAATGCGGAGAGTCTACCTTCTTTGTATCACAACCACAACAACCCCAATATCGAGAGTCTACCTTCTTTGTACCACAACAACCTCAATATCAAGACTTCAATAACTTGTGCGCACAATATGGAGATCTCATATTCCAACATGAACAGCCCAACTTTCTCGCTGATATTAACATCATGACGGCAATCGAATCTGACCTACAGTTCAATTTTACTGATTCGAACTTACTTAGCACTGATATCAACTCCCTGCAGTCTGGAGTGCAACAGCAGATTTGTCATGACTTCACCATATTGCAGCCCAACACCTTGGCCTTCACCCAGTCTGATTATCCACATAATGATTCTAAATTCTAAGTTTGTTATGAATTGGTTCTTACTAACACCCAAAAGACACGTAAAATTTTTTATTTCATTTCAGTTTTGTGTCAACATTTTCTTATAAATTAGATATTTTTAGTTCAGTATTCAAATTAGTAGTTGCTTCGAAGTACTTATCTATTATAATTCCTCTTAACATATGTTTTTGCAGATTATGCTTGAAATATAACACCATAATATATGCAATATATACTAATTATATATAATTTTATACTATAATAAGTTTTAACTCAGATGAAAATTATGAACAGATGTTATTAATAAAAACAAAGCACTTTTCTATGTCCTGTTTGGATGGTTCAATTATGCACATTTTTCTTATGCATGCTAACAATATTCTTTCTCATGTTTGGTCAATTATCAACTCGATAGTGGGGAGTACTGTCCACAACTCCAAACACGGAGGAAGATAGGGTAGTTTGGTTTATACGAATTTAGTTAAAAAAAAAAAAAGATTCGAGCATTTGTGATTTGACTTAGTAATTTGATATATATGAATTTGAGTAGGATTTAAATTCTCATCTCTCAAATAAAAAAATACAAAGAGATTAGATATTGTGTAACCGGAAATTGAATTACATAAAAAAAAAAAAAAGAAAAGAAAAAAAAAAGTTTAATGCTCGCAATGGAATTTGATTATATGTTTGTTTTGGATCCGTTTTTGAGCTATGCGCAGCCTAACTTTTTAAGCTTTGAAATTTGGGCTTTGCGTTGGATTGGGATGGGACTTGAGCCTTGCAATGAAAAAATATATAAAAATACAGGGGGTTTATATTTCTATACGGAGTATTTTAAGATAATTTTTCAATGGGTTTATATTTCTTGCTAATTTTTATTTTATTAATTATGTATCAAATATTTTAATTTATTTGAGTCTTATCAATGATCATTTGTTGGGATCATCTCGAATGTATGATTTGCAATTACCTATTTTAAATTGTCAGGTACGACACATCTTACTCTTGACTTGAGAGACTGAACAATCTATCTATTCTCGGATTTTATATAATCAAAAAGATATATATATTTCAATTTGTCAATTAGATAATAAATTTTGTTAACAACTATTCTATGGCTCTCTCAAAGATTATTTTATAAAGTAATATATTCATCCAATTCATTAAAAATATGAATAAAATTGTCAAATATTAATTATTTTTGTTTGCTCGAAAAAAAATTCAACTGTTCTATTTAATATAAAATTATTACTATAAATAATATATTAATTAAGCTTAAAGTGTATTTTGAAGGCGATCATTACTAAAATCTTTAAATAATTTATAACAATATTAAGGGTGAACTTTTCAAAATAGTCATCCATGTTTGAGAGGTTCTTTCTTATTTGGTAATAAAGCAGTGTTTTATAATTAATGAATCATAAATTTTTTGAATATCAATATATTAGTCTTTATTTTTTGAAATAATATGAATATTAGTCCTCATATTCACATATCATGGTGATCATGAATTAATTTCTTTTAAGTAATAAACAATGTAGTAATTTTGTTCTTTTACCTTGCAATATTGAATTTTGTCTTGCATACAATTTAAGTTTTTTTTTTTTTGGTACAAAGAAAGATGCAATTGAAGAATAATGAAACCAATTATAAATATTAAGATTCAAATTTCAAATTTATTAAATATTATTTTTAAAAAATTATTATAATTTATATAAATTAATTAAATTAAGTTTCAAATTCCAAACATTAAAATACTTTTCTTTTTCGAAATTGAAGTATAGATTTCAATAAATCAATTCTTACTATTACATTATTCTCAAAAAAAAAAAAAATCTTACTTTTGCATTACTTTATAAGAGGAAACAAATTTCAACAAAAATCAATTATAAAACGTTTTTAAAAATGAGATAAATGCCGCTGTCTATATGCAATTCTTTGTAATCTTAGAGTTGACCATACGAGACTCAGGCTGCATTTGATTCAAGTCCACCCACGGTGAGGTGCAGTTGGAAACCAAAAAGTCAGCTTTGTGATCCAAATGAAATCGCGGTGAGGCACGGTTGGAAGCATTTATCGCACCACGCCTTCAATTCGTTATTGAACCTTTTAGGTCAAGTGAAAATTTATTTCTTCTACCGCAGCTATGTCTTTTAATATTATCCATATTTTTTCTTTTTTGCCTTTGAAAATATGGTGTAAGGATCAAAATATTCTTGTCATTTAATCTTTCATTTTTTTGTTCAAAAATTATAAATAATTTTGTCAATTCAGTACAATAAATATATATATATATATATTTCTACAATTGAGTAATTAATGAAAATAAATAATTACATAAAAATATTTTTTAAAAATTTTTAGTTAAATAATTTAAATTTTTATTATATATAAATTTTAAACTAATATATTTAATAGTAGTTTTTTATCTTATTAAAATTTATCTCATTGTCACCGTTACGTTTATATCCAAACACATATTTTTATTATGAATTTTAATCTCACAATTATAATAAATAATCTCACCACTATTATTACTTTTAATCTCTTCGAAATTAAATTCGTTGTCCATCTAAATAAACCCTCAAAAAATGAAATTGCATTTATTTTCATCACATTGTTCTATTCCATATTGAGACCCAATTACTTCTTTATACAATGAAATATTAATTCTTGTTCAAACCAACTAACTAAAGAATATGCATATTTTCTGAAATACTAGCTAGTTCAATACCAAAATGAAGGAAACATGAATTTAATTAGTAAGACAATACCGCATGATTTCACATTATAAATTCATTTCGATAATCATAATAAATTTATAATTTTCATATTTAATTAATAATTTTTTTTTCTCTTTTAACATGCAAAACTCAAAAAAAAAATTTCATTTGAATTGAAACATTTTTTTTAGAAAATAAATTTATAAGTGACTTGAAATAAAAAAGTTTATTGATCTAAAATCTTTTTTTTAATTTGTAAGATATTGAAAGAAATTAAAAAATGGGTTAATTTTCATCTAAAAGTTTCATGACTTATTGTAGCAGAAAGAAAAAGACTTAAAGGTTGTGCTCAAGCTTTTAGCTTAATAGTTAAAGACGTTTGATGGGTTATCAATGACCTGATTTCATATAAAACCTTTCCCTTTTTCCTTATTTGTACTAAGATTTTATCATGATGTAACCAAAGAAAAATAAAAAATAAAAAAAACTTAAGGGTTTTGAAAAATGAGTTGAATAATATAGATATAAATATATTGAAATAGTAATATATTATAAAATGATTTATATAATATTAGAAATTATCAGACATACTAATATTTAACATATTTATCTTAATTTCTACCAAAACAACCTTACCTTCTCTACGTCTTAACATCTTGATGTCAATACTCTGATCCAAATGTATTTTGCAAATATCAAATCGTTGCCTCTGCCTAGTCTATTGCCTTTGTAACTCAGAGGAAATTATACTTCTGCTATCCATGTAACAGAGCTAAACGGCAGTACAGTCATAAGGTAGAGGCCTTTTGCTCTATGAGTTCAACGCCTTGCAGCTTGGATTACAATCGCAGCTTTATCATGATTATGACATCTTTTCTACCACATTGTAGCCTAACATCCTATCCTTTGTCCAGCTTGATCCGCATCTTATATTTTACTGCATGAATTTTAAATATTAAAATTATTTGGAAAATGTATAAGTTTGTTATGGACCAACCATGGAAAACTTTTACTCCATTTTAATTTAATTATATTCGTGTGAATACATTCTTATAAATAAATAAAATTTGATTCAGTATTTAAATTATTGGTAATTGTTTTTAGAATACTTATCTATACATAATTCCTCTTAGCATATGTTTTAACAGATTATACTTGACACATAACACCATAATATATACATTATATATTAATTATATGCAATTTTAGACTACAATAAGTCAAACTTGGATAAAAAGGATGAGCAGATGTCATATATAAAGACAACGAATTACTACTAAAAAAACAAAGCACTCTAGTTCAGTTATGCAGATTTTACTTATTCATGCTAATCATATTCTTACTCATAATTCGTCATTATCAAGCAATTAATAGTTAAAATTGAACTATAATCTTATAAGTAAAAATGATCCATCCTTTATGGAGACATTTTTTCGAAGACAAAACGACAAGCTTTTGAACTCATAGAGCAAAATCTTAACAATTTTTGCTTTGGATATTTCTTATTTTTCAAAGCACTTGGATTGCATTTAGAGGCCCAATGTGAGTGGGTTGGCACTCAAGCCCATGACTGGATTCCGGGCTCTATTTAGTATTTACTAACTTCGAGAGCTCGATTCACTAATTGACTATGATATTATTATAAATAATATCTTAGAGCACCTCAAAAATTTGAAATTTCTTCGCCGTCATATGATTCTTGTACGTTAGAAGAGAAAGTTAAAAAGCTAATCAAAATCAGGTTTAGGTCAAGTATAAATGTAACATGCATTAAGTGGTGGGCTAATTAATTATGGACCTCACAATAAAATTAATACAGAATATGCTTTCATTAATATCTAATTCAGAAATAAATGATACCATGGTTTGGTTGATTTATCAAAACACATGAGAGTATATCTCAACTCTATAACTTGATTAATATAATATAATTCGAGATTTAAGACACATTAGAGCTGAAGGAAAATTGTTTTATGCAGTGGATAAAATTATTAAATTATACTAATTAAATTTAAATTTTGATATTTATTTTTAAAAATATATTTAAAAAATCAAAATAATCATGATTATATTTTAATTTCACTTGCTTTGCAATTTACCGATAAAATTATCTTATTTGGTATGAGTATTTTTGGTTCAAAAAATAAATTGGTCATTTTTTTTATTAAACAGTGTAAATATTTCATTTTGTCTCAGAATTTTTCTAGAATGAAAACAGGTTTTGATAAAAAATTAGGCCAATTGGAAGCTTCAAGTTTAATAAAAACTTTTAATTTTATTTGATTATTATTATTAT